CCCGTCCAGAGGACCTATACAATTTTTTTTCCTTTTGATTTTTTACCTGGATTACTGAGATGCATCAGGACATCAGAACTGACGTTTACTGTTCTATATATAAGTAATCTGAGTTTAATGCGAATTAAAGTTCGGACGCGGAATATTAATTCACATCAAACTCAGACCCGATCCCAGACCCGCCAGAGTCCAGAACTTATCGTGTCATGCTCAGTTCATAAAAGTTCAGAGTTTCCCCTTCCTCCTCATGGCCTTCAGACTGCTCCCACATGGATGATACGGGGAGATGGGAGGCAATCAAGCCCTTGTGGACAGATCCTCCTGGGGAGTTTAGATAACGTACCAACCGAAGGCCAGCAGCTGGGTTCTGAAAAGATAAACACAATTGTTTTGGGCCAAGCTGCCCTTGAATTTTTCTTGCTGCTTTCAGTCTCACTGCATCTCTGAAAATGGCAAAAAACAAAAACAAAACAAAACTAAACAAAAAAAACAAATGTTCCAAATTTCGTGTCTTCTTGCCTCTCTCCGTCTGAAGCTTCACCCAGATGTAATCCTTACATTCCAGAGGCACGCTGCTGAGCTGTGATTCTCATAGAATCACATCCAATTTGCAACTTATCTTCCCCAGCATCTGAGTATGTGTACTTCCAGTATGTCACATTTCATCCATTGTGCCTGACAGCTTCCTAACAGCCTGGACTACTGTCAGGATCACATTCATTTTCCAATAAATCAGAAATCGTCTCCACCCATCAGCAGAAATTCAATTATTATGAATCCAAATACATACAAATCTTCCATGTCTTCAATAGAAAGCGGTGCCAAACAGATCAGGTTCCAGCCCCAAGAACCAGTGACCCAACCAGCTGCAACCATTCCACTGAGACAGCTACGTTCCCCTCGTTCCAATCTCAGTGTGGAAAAAATAGTGTCAATTGCGTTCAGAGACCAGTTGACTTAATCCATAATTCATTTTTGTTTTGGATGATAGGTAGAAAAAAAGGCTAGAATGAGCTGAAAAGCAGGAAGAAGGGAAAAGTTCGGGAGAGAGTGCAAAAAAGCGTCCGACTCCTCTGAAGTCCAAGAATAAAAAAAAAAATCAATCTTCTCAGTCTTAAAGTAACTGAGGAAATGTTTGTTGTGCTGCAGACAGACCCATCAGTGGACCCTTGGAAACTGGTCCAAATGAGACCATCTGTGTCCCACAGGTCTTAAGCTGAACTTTAACCTGCTGCTCCTCTTCCTCTCTCTGTCCAGACACAGTCAGACTGGTTAGTGGGTCTAACCTGTGCTCAGGTAGACTGGAGGTGAACTTGAACCAGTCCTGGTCCTCAGTGTGTCAAGCTGACTTTGACCAYCAGGATGCAGAGGTGGTCTGCAGGGAGCTGGACTGTGGTCCTCCTTCAGTCCTCCAGGGGGCGCTCTATGGAGAACCAGAGGCTCCAACATGGAGCAGAGAGTTCCAGTGTGAAGGCACCGAGTCTGCTCTCCTGGACTGTAGAGCAGGTTCAGGTAGAAGCAGCTGCTCGCCTGGACAAGCTGTTGGACTCACCTGTTCAGGTAGAGGAGGAGCTGCAGACTTGATTCTGTTAACTGCTTTACTTCATTTATTTACTACTTTTCTGTCTCTGCTCAGAGAACATCAGGCTGGAGGCCAGCCGCTGTGCTGGGACTGTGGAGATGTTTCAACAGAAACAGTGGAGACCAGTGGATGATTGGTATGACGACTGGACCAGGACCTCAGCTGCTGCAGTTTGTGCTCAGCTGGGTTGTGGTTCTGTTGTTTCAACAAGAAGATTAAATG